TATTTTAAACTGTTTATATTCATTAAATATCTATATATGTCTCGCTTATTTTAAACTGTTTATATTCATTAAATTATCTACATGTCTCGCTATTTTAAACTGTTTATATTCATTAAATTATCTATATATGTCTCGCTATTTTAAACTGTTTATATTCATTAAATTATCTACATGTCTCGCTACAAAACAAACAAACAAACTAATTTCAGTAATAAGTTCTACTTAAATAAATGTAAATATTTTTCTGATATCAATAGCTAGGTTTCCAAACTAAATGTAAATACCATGATTTTTACGTAATGGTTTTTGCTATGTATTTACGTAATGAAAATGGTTAAAACAAAGATAAAAAAATCTTTGGTTATCATTTTTATTTTTATTTTGCGACAAGAATAAAAAATATGTCGACATTTATCGTATGGGTTATCTCTAAAATCATGTTTTCAGCCTAGCAATAATTTAAATGCTCAGATATTTTACCTTACATTAGAACAGATTGGTACAAATGTATTAATTAATTAATTAATTAATTCCTTGCAAACATTTAGCATTGTTCTTTACGAAATGGGCCCCCCAGTGGCACAGTGGTATGTCTGCGGACTTACAATACTAGAATCCGAGTTTCGATACCCGTGGTGGGCAGAGCACAGATAGCTGTTTGTGTAGCTTTGTGCTTAATTACAAACATACAAACAAACCTTTAGGAATGCCCCCCCCCCAGTGGCACAGCGGGATGTCTGCGGACTTACAACGCTAGAATCCGGGTTTCGATACCCGTGATGGGCAGAGCACAGATAGCTGTTTGTGTAGCTTTGTGCTTAACTACAAACAAACATCAAACTCTACGAAACGGTAAGTAAGTTGTTGCTAGGAAACTGGTGTTCACTGTTACTGTTAGGTCGGTATAAGGAAAACCAGACTGACCGGTGCAAACCAGGTTTGTGTTTCTATACTGTTTCCATGGGTACAGTATCCTTAAGTTATCTCCCTGTGTGACGTGCTACCTTGTATTCATGGCACGAAGTAATTATGTTTGTTTGCGCAAGCAAGCCGAAAACGGCTATATAAACTTAAGAGCTTAGGTGAAACAACACATACATTCAGCCAATTTTAGTCAACGAAAAAGTAAATATTTACAAGTTTCGTCAAATTAACTTGCTGAAACGGGTGAGTGTATTTTGGTTTACGCGTTAATCCAAGCTCGTTGAAAATGCTTTTGACTATTTGAAATCAAAGTCCAACACTAATTACTGTTTCAAATCTCTACCACAGTCTGTTAAGGTGGATAATGAGAGAAATTCACAATAAAGCAGATGCACGAGTTAATGGAAGGAATATAAACATTAGGTATGTGGCCTGCACTGACTTGATAGAAGAAGTGTAGCACTAAATAGCAAAAGATCTGAGACAAAAAAACAGTTTGTTTTAGCAATAAGCGCTCTGTCCACCACAGGGGATCGAACCCCGAGCTTTAACGTAAATTTACTGATAACCCACTGGGGGGACATTCTTCAAAACGACAAAAAATAAACAATGTTTTAGCTCGACCTCGATTTCAACGTTAATTGATAATATCACGTTTTCCTAGAAACCATGGACTCTATGAACAGTCAACGTCAGGGCGGAATCCAGGCACTTGAGAGACAGCAGAAACGGAACACAAAACAGGAAGAACCAGGAAATCACCCAGAAGAAGATAAGGATCTTTCTGAGGGGCAGACCGAAGTTCCAAAGAGAGAAGGCCAGGAAAGCGTTCAAGAAAAATAATTAAAACGACGATTTTTGTATAATATAAAGTTTATTTATTGCACCTGTCCTTTATTTATTTTTTACTTGTATCTAAACTATATTTGTATCGTTCATTTAGATTGAGTTGCTGTCGTACGTAAGATCTGAGATTTTTCAGTTTCAAATATGTTGTAGTTGCCGTGAAATAAATATATTATTAACATAAAAGAAAACTGTTGTTGTGTGTTATAAGTTCATACCTAATGCTCAATTTGTTCATCTGTCTATGGTCTATATTTCCCCTTAGAGCAAAGTTTTTAATTTACTTATATTTTTTTTTTTACTCAGCTCTTTATTCATCATCTCATTGTGTAACGACCAAAACCCTTAGTTTTTTTTTAACCAGGTTGCTGCGTAGCGTTAAAAATGCGGAGCGATAATGTCGAGTGAGATTATATAATTAACAGGTCAGGGATGCACTTGGAATTTTGTGATTTCTTCCAAAGAAACCGGAATATATTTTCACTGTGATCACTAATATGACAGTAAGATTATATATATAATTATGAATTCGAAAATACATGAAATGTGCCAGTTATATGGAATATTCAAAATCGACAGTCAGTTACCATACACACGTAAATCGTTTATTTGATATAAAGTTAATAGTTTTAGTGCAAAGCCACATTAGGCTATCTGCTATATGCTAAGACCGTGAATTTACCGCTGTCACACCAAGGGCTTTGAGATATTTGACGAATAAAATTGATATTATTTTTATACATTACTCTTATTGTCTGATTACAAGTTCAATCACAATTAGTTTGTTTTAAGATAAATATATAGAGTTATTATTTAATAAATATATTACACGTGTAACTGAAGAGAGATGGCGTTTCTAAGTTGATTATAAGTTCATCTGACGAACCACATTCGAATAGGCTTTGTTTGTTTTGAATTTCGCGCAAAGCTACACGAGGGCTATCTGCGCTAGCCGTCCCTAATTTAGCAGTGCAAGACTAGAGGGAAGGCAGCTAGTCATCACCACCCACCGCCAACTCTTGGGCTACTCTTTTACCAACGTCACATTATAACGCCCCCACGGCTGAAAGGAGCGAGCATGTTTGGTGGGACGGGGATGCGAACCCACGACCCACAGATTGCGAGTCGAGCGTCCTAACCCCCTGGCCATGCAGGGCCTAGCTCGAATGTACTCAATGAAACTCTAGCTAAGAGGAAAATGGTAAAACTTAGTGTAGGTGTGGACGTAAGTTGAAAAATAAGAAATAAATCTGATTGGTCGTATGTGGATCGAGGTCACGGAATAACTTATATGATGGGAATTACTTTACGTGTAGTAGCGTGAAAATTAAAGACGGTATTAGCGAAACGTTAAACAACTTACCAATGTTATCTATTTGTTTTTAATATATATATATATTTTTTACTTTTTAATATTCACGACAAAACTGACAGAGACGTGAAACAGCACAAAATGAAAGAAATATTTGTAACGCTGTCAAATGGAAGACAATGTAAGAAAAAAATTACATATAAAATCCGAAAATTAAAAATGATAGGAAAACTAAAATAATTAATGAAATTCATGATTACGTAAAATATCTGAAATGTTTAACGAATACAAAAACTTTAAAATAAGCAAAACATATAGATAATTTAATGAATATAAACAGTTTAAAATAGCAAGACATATAGATAATTTAATGAGTATAAACAGTTTAAAATAGCGAGACAGCATATAGATAATTTAATGAATATAAACAGTTTAAAATAGCGAGACATGTAGATAATTTAATGAATATAAGCAGTTTAAAATAGCGAGACATGTAGATTATTTAATGAATATAAACAGTTTAAAATAAGCGAGACATGTAGATAATTTAATGAATATAAACAGTTTAAAATAGCGAGACATGTAGATAATTTAATGAATATAAACAGTTTAAAATAAGCGAGACATATATAGATAATTTAATGAATATAAACAGTTTAAAATAGCGAGACATGTAGATAATTTAATGAATATAAACAGTTTAAAATAAGCGAGACATATAAATAATTTAATGAATATAAACAGTTTAAAAAATTTCGCGCAAAGCTACACGAGGGCTATCTGCGGTAAAAATTTAAGTTCTCCTTGACAAAGTAGTCAAAAAAGTGAGTTAGTTTTGTCTTGGATGGTAAAAATTTAAGCTTTCCTTGCCAAAGTAGCCAAAAATGTGAGTTAGTTTTGTCTTGGATGGTAAAAATTTAAGTTCTCCTTGCCAAAGTATCCAAAAAAGTGAGATAGTTTTGTCTTGGATGGTAAAGATTTAAGCTCTCCTTGATAAAGTAGCCAAAAAAGTGAGTTAGTTTTGTCTTGGATGGTAAAAATTTAAGTTCTCCTTGCCAAAGTAGCCAAAAAAGTGAGTTAGTTTTGTCTTGGATGGTAAAAATTTAAGCTCTCCTTGACAAAGTAGCCAAAAAAGTGAGTTAGTTTTGTCTTGGATGATAGAAAATTGAGCTTTCCTTGACAAAGTAGCCAAAAAAGTGAAATAGGTTTCCTTCTGGAGATAAAACTTAGCGTTTTCAGCGGTTGACTTGCTTTCTTCTACATTACCATTAACCAAGAGATAAAACGATACTTTTCAAGATTTTGTTGCCATTAACCATGAAATAAAACGATACTTTTCAAGATTTTGTTACCATTAACCAAGAGATAGGACGATACTTTTCAAGATTTTGTTGCCATTAACCAAGAGATAGGACGATACTTTTCAAGATTTTGTTGCCATTAACCAAGAGATAGGACGATACTTTTCAAGATTTTGTTACCATTAACCAAGAGAGAGAACGATACTTTTCAAGATTTTGTTGCCATTAACCAAGATACAGGACGATACTTTTCAAGCTTTTGTTACCATTAACCAAGAGAGAGAACGATACTTTTCAAGATTTTGTTGCCATTAACCAAGATATAGGACGATACTTTTCAAGATTTTGGTCTACACTCTAGACATCAATGTGACCCGTTTAATAACTACTAGTATTAACGAAGGAGGACAAATACATTTGGTGATTTTGACGGAATACAGGCCACTCGACGAAAGCTCTAGGGTTTGGCTGATTTTTTAAATACATTTTTTTATATTTTATGTATTATTGTGTTTTTATGTGCTCGTTTCTTCAGAAATAGGTTGTTGAAACTAGTTTTTTCATTTTTAAAATTTAAAATGTTTTTATTTGTTTGAAGTTTGTTGTACCTTGAGGAATGGGATAAGCGCTTTTATTCAATTATACGGTTTTAAGTGATGTAAACACTAATGTTTCGAATCACCACAACCAAATTTTATCACTTGACTAACCCCAGTGAAAATAAGAAACGATGGGGTCAAAACGAATATACTCAATACACTTTTGTGTTTTATATTTTATGTACTTGTACAAAATCTGTCCCGTTTTATGATGTAAGTAATTGTTTCAGGTGTTAAAGATAAACCGTCTTATCTATCTTTCTAATAATCGCACATGTAAATGTTTGTTTGTTTAGAATTTTTGCGCAAAGCTACACGAGGGCTAGCATCCAAGACAAAACTAACTCACTTTTTTGGCTACTTTGGCAAGGAGAACTTAAATTTTTACCATCCAAGACAAAACTAACTCACTTTTTTGGCTACTTTGGCAAGGAGAACTTAAATTTTTACCATCCAAGACAAAACTAACTCACTTTTTTTGGCTACTTTGGCAAGAAGAACTTAAATTTTTACCATCCAAGACAAAACTAACTCACTTTTTTTGGCTACTTTGGCAAGAAGAACTTAAATTTTT